GGCAACAAGCTCCAAAACTATCATCATTTGTGGTGCGACGGAAGTCCTCAAGTGATATTATTGCCACTCGGTTGGAAGATTTAGTGCGTCAGTTCTGGGAAATCNCCAGTGATATTATTTCCACTCGGTTGGAAGATTTAGTGCGTCAGTTCTGGGAAATAGAGCACAACTTCGAGCCGATCTCTAAGGCCTCCCAAGAAGATATCGACTGCGAAGCCCACTTCCGGGAAAATTATTTGCGATTGTCATCAGGCGAATACTCAGTTCGTCTTCCCATGAAGCGTGGTGTGGAGGCCCTTGGAGACTCCTATTTGCAAGCTCGTCAACGCTTCGAAAGTCTTGAACGAAAATTCGCTCGTAACCCTGTGCTTAAAACAGAATATAGTAAGTCCATAAAGGAATATCTGGACCTTAATCACATGTCGCTAGTTACCAATGAGGTTTTTCAACAATGCAAGTATTTTCTGCCGCATCATTGCGTCATCAAGGATGACAGTAGCACAACAAAGCTGAGAGTGGTTTTTGATGGCTCTGCATCCACTACTTCGGGCTTTTCGCTGAACGACCTACTCATGGCAGGCCCAACTATTCAGCCGAAACTTTTTAATATCCTTATTAGATTTCGTACTTTTCCCATAGCACTTACTGGGGACATCTGTAAGATGTATAGGTGTGTTCGCGTCACCCCACCAGATAGCATGCTCCAATGCATATTGTGGCGTGAATCTCCTCAGGAAAACTTTGCCATCTATAAGTTAGACACGCTGACTTATGGAACTAAGCCTGCGTCATTTCTGGCCATACGTGCCATGCACCAACTCGCAGCTGACGAATCCTCGACTTATCCCATTGGTGCAGAAATAGTGCGTCGAGACTTCTACGTAGATGACTTGATATCTGGAGGCGATTCGATGGAAGAAGTACTGAATATCAAGCTACAAACAACTAGCCTCCTTGCTCGAGGAAACTTTAAGTTACGCAAGTGGTGCTCTAATAGTCCAGATATCCTTCGTGATATACCTGACGTAGACAAGGAACGTTTCCTTAAGTTTGACGATGGCAGTGACATCACCAAAGCTCTGGGACTAGTTTGGGATCCGGTCAAGGACAAGCTGCTATTTTCGTTTGTGCCACAACGAGAACTCGGTAAAAACTCAAAACGCTCTGCGTTGTCTACTCTAGCTCGCTGTTACGATCCCCTTGGACTAATGGGCCCTACGCTGACCAAGGCGAAGATTCTTTTGCAACGCATGTGGAGAGACAAGCTTGAGTGCGATGAGAGTATACCGCAATCGTTAAACACCGCCTGGTCTGCCTTTTGCAGCGAGTTTGCAGACATACAGCATCTATCATTTCCTCGTTACGTCTTGCCTTGAAGCTTATGGGGCTTGCGTTTATACGCGTTCAGCCAAGGATAG